TTACGATTTTCGTTATTTGTCGTAATTTCGGATAGATCGTCGGTTTGATTTTACTTTTTCTGGTATGATAATCGTCGACAGATTTTTAACGGTGCCTGTACACACTAAACTGTTTCTGAGCCCTGAAAAATTCCCCGAAAACTCGCTTCAAGTTTCTCATAATTGTCTTGCCGATGAATTAATGGCCTTAATGAAAACGTATAAACCAGGTTCAAGTGAGCACGACAAGGCCGCGTCTCTTCTAGGCCAAATAAAGGTTAGTAACTTCGATTAATTACAACTGATCTAATTGAATATTATGTGCATATATTTATGCTTAATCCTTATATGCGCAATAAATTATTTCTTATCGATTTACATTTAGTGGTTGGAATTGATTTGTTCAATTTAACTCTAAATCTGTGTTAATCCGGTTTAATTGTAAAGGCGTGTTAATAGCAACCGGTTTCGATAGTAAATCGTTTTTTAGATAAATTTTAAGTTTAATTATTACAAATTTGGTTTAAACTCAATCCAACATGGTTTTTGAGTTTCTACCTCTAGTTATATCCTACAACTAATACTTGTCGTAGCTGATGATGAAATTTGGGAGACAATAATTGCATTTTATGAAAAGCTTACGGTAGTGCTAATAAGTAAAATTTTTTTACTCATTTAGAAAAAACGATCCGGCTCATGCGTAAGTATAACAAAGATTGGTAAAAGACCACGTGATGAAGGTGAAATATTGTCAATTCGTCGTGATTTCGCCGGAATGAAGGAATATTGCGATGTACTACTTGAATGGCAGGAAAATCAGGTCGAAGAGGTGTCCAGATCAGGTCGACATCTCCTAAAATTGTTGAAGTGGTCTATCGTCGACACAAAGCTATTTTTTGGCGTGGAATTGCAGTTGCCCAGTTGTTCAAGGCCTGCAGTTAACTTATCTCATGTCGACAAAAATACCATTTTTCCTTTGAAATCGTTAATAGATGAAGGAAAAATTGGAAATTCTGGATCGTTATTTGAGTCAATAAAAAGATCATTTGGGATACAGAAAGACCATATAATTGACTCATATACGGCATCATCTGCGGTTATGTCGATTCTTACATACTACCCTGCTCCAAGTCTTGGCACTGAAAGTGGACCATCTGAAAGCCACTCCAAAATTCAACTTTGGAGCAGGATACTAGCTGATGTATTCCTTCACAATTTGGTTCGGTTCGAACCTATTTGGGAATACCATCAGCTAGTTCCTGGTCATGGTGGAAGGGGTTCTGCTTACCTTGACTTTGCAGCAGTTGTTAAGGATGTAAGAAATCGACTTTTTCCATTCTTCATCATTGAGTTCGAAAAATATGATCGTGAAATCCATAAAGATTACGCGGTTGTAGCTGCTGAGGCATCATTTGAACTCAATCGCATACTCTCGATAACTCCGGAGTCAAAGGTGCCTGAAATTAGGATGCATGTAGGTCTAATAAGTAATTCGGGTATCCGCTTGGGGATCCTAAGACCTTTCTACAATGATGACAAGACAGCCATATCATTTTCTTATGACCAAGATGTTGTGACCTTCAAATTGCAACATGATAATGGTAATCAAAATGATGCTGTCTTGGATGCACTTAAACTTATAGTTTATTTGCGCGAAGTAGTTTGCAAAGATGGCCTTGTCATAAAGGACTTGGTGAACTCTCCAAGGATTAATAATGACGTTATAAGGACCTTACCAATGCTCCCTGTAAATATGGAACAATCGAGGGATTCAACTATCTTTACACCGAAGTCGAAAAGAGTAAGATACATAGTAGATATTGATGAGGATAATGATGATTAATCATTAAATTTTTTGTATAATAAACTTTTAAAATACGCAATAAAAACTTAATGCTTTTACATTATTAGTCAATTTTTAAATAAGGTAATTTTATGAATAATATCACATCGTTTAGACAGACACACTCATTTGATATAAACAGCTAATCATATGATGAAAGTTTTTCTATGACAAATCATATATTTAATATATATATACTGTCGGCCCTCCCAAACCGATAACCTGTCATAAACGATTAAATTTTGGTCCACATGTCGGTTCCATAAGTACTATCCAATAAACCTGTCATTTATGATATCCGATAGCCAATTTATTTAAGTTTCCGGTATGGTCGCATGAGTGCATCTATTTGCGCAACAGATTAAATAATGTTCATTGATTTTCTAGCACGTTCAATCAATCAGAATTATCGCTGTTTGCATATTGATGCAACCCATGATAAAAGCATACCCGATTGTTCGATTGAAATCGATTGTACGTGATTGTACGTGATTGTATGCGATTTCTCAACAACCACCTGATCAAATTCGACGAAATTTTTTTTATTCGAATTTTATGAATCTATAGAATTCAAATAAAAAAAAAACTCATCGAATTTGATCAGATGGTTGCTGAGATATCATCGCTCAATTTTTTTTTAAAAATATCAAAACGTCGATCAAAAATAGAAGCTGCGTCAACTTTTCCTAAAGCTTTGAACGAAGATATCTCAGCAACTATCTGATCAAATTTGATGAATTTTTTTTTTTTTTTTTTTTTTTGAATTCTATAGGTTCTTAAAATTCGAATAAAAAAAAAATTCATCGAATTTATCTGATGGTTGCTGAGAAATCACGTACAATCACGTACTATCACGTACAATCGATTTCAATCGAACAATCGGGGTATGCAGCGATCTACAAACTTTATCATGGGTTGCATCAATATGCAAACAGCGATAACCACGGCCAACACACACATAACCAATTTTTGCAATCTTTTTAAAAACTTTGAACAAAGTTTTCTTAATAACTACCTGGTAAAATTCTATAAACCTTTTTTTATTTTAATTCTACACATTCATACAATTAATATAAAAAAACTTTATCAATTTGTCTGATGGTTATCGAGAAAAGTTTAAAAAAAATCTGTTCTTCTATTAGTAAATTAAGTGCTTTGGAGTTTTTTTTTAAAACTTATGAGCAAAATTTTCTCACTATCCGATAAGTTTATTTTATTTTAATTCTATATATTCACAGAATTAAAATAAAAAAAATCATCGAATTTGGGCAAGTAGCTGTCAAGAAGCTTCGTTCAAAGAAATAACTTGTTCCGTCTATCAATAATTGGAGCCAAATTTTTATTGAAACTTTGAAGTTTTCTCGATAATCACCTGACTAAATTCGATGTTTTATTTTTATTTTAATGTGTAGAATTAAAGTAAAAAACAATTCATCGAATTTGATTAGGTAGTTATCAAAAAACTTTGCTTAAAGTTTAAAAAGAATTTGTCCCTTCGATTAGTAAGTTAATTTCTTTAAACTTTGAGAGAAGTGTAATCGATGATTTTCTAATCAGATTACATGAATATTTTTATTTCTAATTCTATACATTGTTATACTTTTATCGAATTTTGTTAGGTGGTTGTCAAGGAAACTTGCTTAAGTTTATAAGAAATCTGTCCCACCTATTAGTCGAAATTTAATTTTTCGTTTTGCATTACTTGCCGACCCAAAATTTTCAAAAACTTGAATTTTTGATATTTATTTTAATCGTTTTAATGAATTTAATTCAAAAAAAAAAATCAATAGTTATTTAATCAAAATATTAAGAAATACAAGAATTACTCCAGAAAAATGTACAATATCGAATGCTACACCCTTTATGAAATCTGATTGGTTATCTAATATAGTTGCGTATGTAAAATTTGTAATTTAGTTAATGCGTTATTATCTGATGATGTTGAAATTTGAACTTATTTGTTTAGAGTTATGTTAGAAGTTAAGGTTAGAGTTCATAATAAAAGGGTATAAGCATAAATGTAGATTTTAATAGGGTTCATATTTTCAATCAAGACACCAAATTTCAGTATCATCCATCTCAGTAATTATCGTCGTTTAACGCAGTTAAATAATCCTTTCATATTGTTAACTATTTTAAACAAAAAAAGTTCTAATTTTTCATCATTCATATTTAAATCTATTGGCTCTATTTTGGTAATCGTGTTTATGTGAAAATTGCACTTGGACATCAATAATACATAATAACGCCTAATACTACAGTGATCGCAAGGAAGATCCAAAAAAATAATATGCAACAATTTTTTCCGTATTTAAGAATGATTACATTATTCTTCATTTTGGTTTAAACGAATGCTAAAAATTGCAAGATGGTCGAAATATTATCACACGATGAACGATCATTCGCAGAGATGTATGGAGTGAACAATTATTTCCAGGTCTTTTTTTTTTTTGAATATTATCAGTTACACCGCTCTAAAAAATCATGTTTCTGTCCCATAATGTAGATCGTTTTACTTGTTTGATCAACAACAATTGGTCTAAATGATTATCTCTTCTAATTAGCAGTTTCAACCTAGCATTGGGCCTGAAAGTTTACAAATTTGCTGGACACCATGCACAAATAATTTACTTAAATTACATACAATTAGTTTTACGATAAACATGTAAATTCCGGATCTATTCTAGGAATGTCTTTCTAGTTTCATACTAATAGAAATCTCTAACATAAAGATAAATTATTCTATTAGTATTTCCATTTTTGATCGATTTTTATCAATTGAATTTGTATTATTTCGGGAAGGAATGAAGGTTTTGAAAGTTTATTATTAATATGCACTAATTTTTAAATTTTAAAATGAATAGCAGATCAGTACATAACCATTACATTTACAGGTCATTCTTATATTTTGTAAGTTGCCGATAGGTTTAAATTCAATATATATAGTTTTATAATGCTTTATGATTTAACTGATTTAAAAGTTAATGAATTTGAAATCATCTAAACAAGTAAAATACTTTTCAAGAAAGCCTTAGAAATCAAAACGAAAAATCATCTTCATGTAGCCTTAGTAATTTAAGTACTGTTGAATTTTTAAAACTTTGATCAAAAGTTTTTCTGATCGAATTCGATAAAAATTTTGAGGATCAGCCAATCAAATCAAAATATTCCAGTATGTTTTGTCACAAATCGCAACCTGAATAAAAAACCTTTAATGCTTTAATGAAAAGTTTTCCTTGAGCAAATTTGCTAGATAAACTGCTAGCATCCAACCCTAATATAAACGCTGATCCTAACATCAATGAACTTTTCTTTATTGCAAATGTGCCCATGCACACCAATACTACAATTTGCATATGGGCGGATTTATTTCCGATCACAAAACATGTGATTATTGAAAACATTAATGCTGATTGGTTGGTTTATCTAATATAATAGTAAAATTTAGAGCATCGTAAAAATAAACCTACACCTGTTTTTTTAAATATACGATAGTCTGAACTTTCATATATATATTCGACAAGACCTTAATTTCAAAGATCCCAAAATAGTTTTTCAAAATCTCAAAATAGGCATAACTTTTACTAGTGACAATGCCAAGGGGTGCGCTACGTAAAAATACGGGACCATATGCAATATGTGGCAAGAGTGACTTTAGAGAAAAGTTTTGTAAGCTGATACCAAAGCTCTTGCTTAAAGCTATGCAAAGTCCCGCTGCTTTAAATTTAAAGGTTGAACTTAGTTTATATGATCAACTTTGTTAAAATCATTATACTAAGTTAGTAGTATTCGATAGAAATTCAAGCCCAAATAAAAAACAGGAATACAGACTAAATTCAATTTACAAGGTTGACAAAAAGCATACAGAAGACAAAAATTCTAATGACCAATTCAGTACTGGAGATTGTTGCCAAAGTGGCATAGACGTTCATAAAGATGAGAAAAAGACATTCGAATGGTACTTGAAATCCGCTATGGGCAGAAGTTCTAATGGGCAATTAAACGTTGGAAATTGCTACCAAAATGGCCTAGGTGTTCCCAAAGATGGGAAAAAAGCATTTGAATGGTACCTGAAATCTGCCAAGAGTGGAAATTCTGATGGACAATTACATGTTGAGAATTGCTACCAAAACGGGTTAGGCGTTTTTAAAGATGACTTTAAATCTCTTAAAAGTGGGACTTTTGATGAGCGATTAATTGCTGAAAATTGTTATCAAAATAGATTATGTTTCTCTAAAGATGAGACAAAGGCATTTAAATGGTACTTAAAATTGGCCAGTGGTAGAAATTCTAATGGAATTTTAAGTGTTGGAAATTGCTACCAGAATGGAATAGGCATTCTTAAAGATGAAAAAGAGGCATTTAAATGGTATTTGAAATCTGCTAAGAGTGAAAACTCTAATGGACAGTTAAACGTTGAAACTTGTTACCTAAATGGAATAGGCATATGTAAAGATGAAAAAAAGGCGCTTGAATGGTACTTGAAATCTGCTGAGCATGAAAATTCCAATAGACAATTGAGTGTTGGAAACTGTTATCAAAAGGGAGTAGGCGTTCCTAAAAATGAAAAAGATGCATTTAAATGGTACTTGAAATCTGCTAAGAATAGAAATTCTAATGGACAATTGAGTGTTAGAACTTGCTATCAAGATGGAATAGGCGTTCATAAAAATGAAAAAGAGGCATTTAAATGGCATTTGAAATCTGCCAAGAATAGAAATTCTAATGTGCAATTGAGTGTTGGAACTTGCTATCAAGATGGAATAGGCATTTGTAAAGATGGGAAAAAAGCGTTTGAATGGTACTTAAAATCTGCTGAGAGTGGAAATTCGAATAGACAATTAAGCGTTAGAAACTGCTATAAAAATAGAATAGGCATTCCTAAAAATGAAGAAGAGGCATTCGAATGGTATCTGAAGTTTGCTGCTAATGAAAATTCGGGTATGCAATTAAATGTTGAAAGTGGTGTAGATATTTCTAA